AACCTTGGAGAACTCCATCCTCAATGCCTACCTGCACACCATCAGGGAGAGCCAGCACTTTCTCTACATCGAGGTCTGACTGGGGGGAGGGCAGAGAAGAGAATGGCAGTGATGTCCCAGGAGAGAGACTCGGGGCATCCGTGGGATCAATTGTCTGAGGGTGGGGACTGGGGCTGGAAGCTGAGGGCGAGGATGGGGTCAGGCTGCTAATACCCATCTTTGGTCCCTGCCCCAGAATCAGTTCTTCATTAGCTGCTCGGATGGGCGGACGGTTCTGAACAAGGTGGGCGATGAGATTGTGGACAGAATCCTGAAGGCCCACAAGTAAGGTGGACTGTCAGGAAGGTGGTTTAACCCAACTGGAGGACGTGGGGCTTTCGGGTCTGGTCACACCTCTGACTCTACCCCCTCCCCAGACAGGGGCAGTGTTTCCGGGTCTACGTGCTTTTGCCCCTGCTCCCTGGCTTTGAGGGGGACATCTCCACTGGCGGCGGTAACTCCATCCAGGCCATACTGCACTTCACTTACAGGTGACCTCCCAGCCAGACCCCACCTCCTGATGCCTCATCCCATTTGCCTGCCCTCTTCACTCTGTTCTGACCCCTCTGACCCCTTCCTCCTGGACCTTTGAGGTTCATCTCTCCCAACATTCTTCTCCTCCCTCCCAACCCTGCACCTCCCTCATCCTTTTTTTCTCTCAGGACCTTGTGTCGTGGGGAGTATTCAATTCTACATCGCCTCAAAGCAGCCAGTGAGTGCTGGGAGCTGGGGGTGCAAACCCTGGACCTCTGGGGGGGGGGACTGGAGAGCTAGGTGACTGGGAGTTGGGAGAAGGAGTTACTCTTGGTGCCTCAGGCTGCCAGCCCACATGCGACCTTTCACTGTAGGGCAAATGTAGACTTGACTCTAGGGAGGCCTGGAGCAAGGTGGGACAGGGCCCAGCTGCACACAGGGGCCCCCCTCACCGCACTTCCCCATGTCTCTCGCATGCAGTGGGCACAGCTTGGCGGGACTATATCTCCATCTGTGGGCTTCGCACTCATGGAGAGCTGGGCGGGCACCCCATCTCAGAGCTCATCTACATCCACAGCAAGTTGCTCATTGCAGACGACCGGACAGTCATCATTGGTCAGTGCCGGGTTTGGGCCCCTGGCAGTGCAAGGATGGTGGGAGGGATGAAGGGAGGAGAGAGTGGAATAATAGAGACCACAGTTGAGGCTCCAGAGGGGAAGGAGGTCAAACAAGGTGTGTCAGCCTGTGGGCCAGTGCTCTGGTAGAGGTGACAGGGTGTTTGGGGCCGGGTGGGGGCAGTGTCTCTCTGGGCCTAGGAAGACACAGTGTGTCCCATACCCACCCAGGTTCTGCGAATATCAATGACCGGAGTTTGCTGGGGAAGCGGGACAGTGAGCTGGCTGTGCTGATCGAAGACACAGAGATGGAGCCTTCCCTCATGGATGGGGCAGAGTATCAGGCAGGCAGGTTTGCCTTGAGTCTGCGGAAACACTGCTTCAGGTAGAGCCGGGCTCACAGGTGGAGGTGGGGGGGACAGGGGTCTGCCCTTTGGGAAATCCTGTACTACCTTTAAACAGTTTAAGATGTCGGCAGGGACCAGCAGATGGCGTGGTGGTTAAGGCGCTGGACACTCCCACATGACCACCCATGGTTCAAGTCCCGGACCTGGTGGCTTGCTTTCTCACTTTCCCTCGTTCTCTCTGTGTCTCTCTCTGGTCAAATTAATAAATGAATGAATAAATAACATTAAATAAAGTTTTTAAAAAGATATCAGCAAAGTAAGAACATCAGCAAAATAAGAGAAAAAATTTGAAATACTTTGTTGTTCTTTTTCAAGGATCAAAGTAGTTGTCAAGGTAGAGAAAAAGCAAAGCTCAGTTGACTCGTTTACATGCATTTTACTGTTCAATATCACATTTATTTTGTATTACCTAGGTAGGGACAATATAGTTTTTCCGATACTCAGGCTGAGATTTTTTTTTTTTTGCCAGGGAGCAGAGGCTTTCACTGGAGAGACAGAGAGGGAGGGAAAGTGAGAAAGCACCTCCCCCCATGGGGAATGCTCATCCCACAATCCCCTCTCTCCAACTCTCCCTCCTTCGGAGATTTTGGGCATGCAAGTGTGTTTCTCAAGTCACCAGTCTGGGACTTGAACGGTGCAGTGGGCCATGGGGCATCCCACACCTTAACCACCAGGCCATGGGCTGGCCCAACACTGTGATGATTTGTGTGTGTGTGGAGAGGTTTTTGCTACAGGGCACATGCACTCGCCAGAAAGACAGAGAGACAGAAAGCGAGAAATCACCCCCCAGGGGGACAGAAAGCGAGAAATCACCCCCCAGGGGGACAGAAAGCAAGAAGAGGGCCCTGCCCATCCTGTGTTTCCCTGGCACTCTGTAGTGCACTGATTTGTGTTGATCTCGCCCAACTATTGGGTCATCGGACAGGTCATGCGTATTTTTCTAAGCAAAAATGCTTCATGACTTTTCCAACGACTCGGTAGATTATAGGTTTCAGGAGAGAGTAGGACCTTGCCTTATTCTTAATATCTATCCTCGGTGTATAAATTAGTATCTGACACTCACTCATGTTGAATGAATGACTACAGGATATGGCGATTGAGAGAATAACTACTGGAGGGGACTAGCAGGTAGCGTGGTGGTTAAGGCACTGGACATGCCCACATGGCCCACTATGGTTCGAGTCCTGGACCTGGTGACTTGCTTTCTCACTTTCCCTCGTTCTCTCTGTGTCTCTCTCTGGTCAAATTAATAAATGAATGAATAAATAACATTAAATAAAGTTTTTAAAAAGATATCAGCAAAGTAAGAACATCAGCAAAATAAGAGAAAAAATTTGAAATACTTTGTTGTTCTTTTTCAAGGATCAAAGTAGTTGTCAAGGTAGAGAAAAAGCAAAGCTCAGTTGACTCGTTTACATGCATTTTACTGTTCAATATCACATTTATTTTGTATTACCTAGGTAGGGACAATATAGTTTTTCCGATACTCAGGCTGAGATTTTTTTTTTTTTGCCAGGGAGCAGAGGCTTTCACTGGAGAGACAGAGAGGGAGGGAAAGTGAGAAAGCACCTCCCCCCATGGGGAATGCTCATCCCACAATCCCCTCTCTCCAACTCTCCCTCCTTCGGAGATTTTGGGCATGCAAGTGTGTTTCTCAAGTCACCAGTCTGGGACTTGAACGGTGCAGTGGGCCATGGGGCATCCCACACCTTAACCACCAGGCCATGGGCTGGCCCAACACTGTGATGATTTGTGTGTGTGTGGAGAGGTTTTTGCTACAGGGCACATGCACTCGCCAGAAAGACAGAGAGACAGAAAGCGAGAAATCACCCCCCAGGGGGACAGAAAGCAAGAAATCCCCCCCCAAGGGGATGGCCACGCCACAATTCCTTCTCCTCCATTCTCTCGGGATCTTGGGCACGCACGCACACGCGCCCGGCATGAATTTAAGCCATGGAGTTCAAGACTCGAACCACGGTCAACTACATGGGAGTCCAGCGACATAATCCATTACGCCATCTGCTGGTCCCCTGTCTGATGATTTTTTAAAAGTTATTATTATTATTAAATTTTTATTTTTGGAAAGGTTTTTGCTATAGGGCACGTATGCTCACCAGAAAGACAGAGAGAGACATAAAGCGAGAAATTACCCTCTGGAGGGGATGACCATGCCACAATCCCTTCTCTTCCATTCTCCTCTTGGGTTCTTGGGCATGCATGCACACATGCCTGGCATGAGTTTAAGTCACCAGTTTTGGGACTTGAACCATGGTTGACTACATGGGATTCCAGCAATATAGCCATTATGCCATCTGCTGGTCCTCTTTGTTATTTAAATCTGTGGGCACGTGTGCTCACCAGAGAATGGGGGGAGTGAGAAAGCAAGCTGCCAAGTCTAGGATTTGAACTGCAGTTAGCCATGTGGGAGTCCAGTGCCTTATCCACCACACCACCTACCTGCCAGCCTCATCTCTCCAATGATCTTTCTGTTGTTTTATTTTGTTTTAGAGGCTTTTGTCCTAGGGTATGTGCCTCGCTAGAGAGAGAGACAGAGACAGTGAGAGGGAAAGTGAGAAATCACCCCCTAGGGGAATGGCCACAGCACGATCTCTTCTCTTCTCCTCCCGAGATCTTTGGTATGCAAGCACACACACCCAGTGTGACTTTCAAGCCACTGGGTCTAGACTCAAACCAAGGTTGGCCATGTGGGAGTCCAGTGACATAACCGCTACGCCATCTGCTGGCCCCTCTCTGATGATCATAATGCAGCCCTGGTGGGATCCCTTTCTCCCATAGCGTGATTCTTGGGGCAAATGCCCGGCCAGACCTGGATCTCCGAGACCCTGTCTGTGATGACTTCTTCCAGTTGTGGCAAGACACAGCCGAGAGCAACGCCAATATCTATGAACAGGTGGGAGCGGGGCAGGGCCTGGCCTGGGGTAGTGACACATTATCTCTGGGCGTGGTGAGAAACCCCAACACACAGTCATTCTGAGGAGGAGGAGAAGGGTCCAGGGGGCATTTACTATAGAGAGATTCAGTGGCAGTGGTCCAGGGTCAGTGTTGGGGGGTGAGAGGGACGGATCAGAAGGTCCGGGAGTGGGCTCAGACTCAGGAGAATCTCCCCAAGCCTCACTGGTTTCCCATGTCCCCCCCACACACAGATATTCCGCTGCCTGCCGTCTAATGCCACACGTTCCCTGCGGACACTCCGGGAGTACGTGGCCGTGGAGCCCCTGGCTGTGGTCAGCCCTCCCTTGGCTAGATCTGAGCTCACCCAGGTCCAGGGCCACCTGGTCCACTTCCCCCTCAAGTTCCTGGAGGACGAGTCCTTGCTGCCGCCCCTGGGTAGCAAGGAGGGCATGGTGCCCCTAGAAGTGTGGACATAGCCAAGGCTCCAGACAGGGAGAGGTCTCCACTGCTGGCCTCCACCATGTCTAACCCTGAGGACGGAGGGCCGTGCCTTTGAGATTTGGAAACACAGCCATAGAAGTCACAGAGGACTCTCACATGAGACGTAGCCAGCAAGGGCAGTCCCAGCTCTGGGCTGGGGAGCAGGAGAGGATCCTGGAGAAGCTCATGTGCCCGGCTGTCCATTTCAGACCACGGCTACAGAGGAGATGCCTAACAGCCTGGCCTTCCAGCCTCTCATTCCGGGAGGAGGAGTCTCGGCCCGAGCCTTTCCCATCTCTCCCTTCTTCTTCCTGCCCTTGAACCTCCTCCCTGTCCCAGGGCCTCTCCCAGCCCATGCTGCCAAGGTGGAGGAAGGACGAAGCCACTTCTGTTTTCAGCCCCCACCAGGGGCGGAGAAGATTGCACACTAACTCCCTCCACCAGCCTGCTGACAGACACTAATTTTGTATCATTTCAATAGCATTTCATAAATAAAAGTGAAGAAAGGCTCGTGCCTCTTACTTGGAGGAGTGTCTGGCTCAGCCAGATCAGCCAACCTCCCACTCAACGCAGCCCTCCTGCCCCAGTCCCACCCTCTCCTACACAGAGCAGCAGTCGCTGTCCCCTGATCTTCACCCCAGCCCTTTCTCCTGTCTCCATCTGCTCTCTGCGCTACTCATCTGTGGCTTGGAGGGCTTGGCTGCCTGGCTCCTCAGAAGGGAAGGTGTTTGCACACTGCTGCTTGGGTAGAAGAAGGGCGGGGCCAAACCAGGACTCCTGACGTCCTGCCGAGCAGAGGAGCTGACTTCCAGGCTGCAGATGGGGGAGGTGTGCGACGAAGGGCCTAGAGAGGCTGCATTTTTCTTCTTTTTTTTTTTTTTAAGAATTATTTATTTATTCTTATTTGTCATCATCATTCTTAGTTTGCTATAGGGCTCACGCTCACCAGAGAGAGAGAGAGAGGGCAAGTGAGAAAGCAGGTCTGGTGACTTAAACCACAGTCAGCCATGTAGGAGTCCAGTTCCTTAACCACTGTACCACCTGATGGCCCCGACAGTGCCTCTTATTCAAGTGACAGCTTTGGTGGAGGCTTTTAGAAGTCCTTCAGGAAGTGGATAAGGATGTAGGCTTGAGTTCTACACCAAAGTCCTCACCCTTGTAGCATTTTACTGTCTGATACAGTAGCGACTAGCCACATTCAGCAGTTTCAGTTTGAATGAATTTAAATGAGAAAATTAAAAATTGAGTCTTGGGACCAGCAGTTGGCGTAATGGCTGTGTTGCTGGACTCCCATGTAGTCGACCACGGTCCGAGTCCTGGACCCAGTGGCTTAAACTTACGCCAAGCTTGTGTGTGTGCGTGCCCAAGATCCCGAGAGGAGAGTGGGGGAGAAGGGATTGCAGCAGCGTGGCCATCCCCCTGGAGGGTGATTTCTCGCTTTTTGTTTCTCTGTCTCTCTGTCTTTCTGGTGAGGGCGTGCGCCCTATAGGAAAACTCTCTCAAAAAAAATTGAGTCTTTCTTTGGACTAGCAGATGGCATAATGGCTATATCACTGGACTTCCATGTAGTCCACTGCAGTTCAAGTCCTGGACCCGGTGGCTTAAATTCATGCCGGGCACGTGTGCATGCATGCCCAAGATCCCGAGAGGAGAATGGAGGAGAAGGGATTGCAGCAGCGTGGCCATCCCCCTGGAGGGTGATTTCTCGCTTTTTGTTTCTCTGTCTCTCTGTCTTTCTGGTGAGCACACGTGCCCTATAACAAAAACCTCTCAAAAAAAAAAAAAATTGAGTCTCTTAGGCCAGCCAGTAGAATGGTGGTTAAGGTAGCTGGATCCCACATGGTGACTATGCAGTTCAAGTCCCAGACCTAGGAACTTGAAAACAAGCCAGGAATAAAAAAATCCCAAGAGGTGAATGGAGAAACAGGGACCCGTAGATGATGTAATGATTAGTCGCTGGACTCCCACATAGTTGACTGCAATTTGAGTCCCAGACCCAGAGGCTTAAACTCATGCCAGGCACATGTGTGTGCATGCACCAAATCCTGAGAGAATGGAGGAGAAGGGATTGCAGTGGGGCCATCTCTCCTGAGAGTGATATCTCACTTTCTGTCTCTCTGGTGAGTGCATGCATCCTATAGCAAAAATCTCTCTTTAAACAAATAAAAACACTACAAAAATCGAGTTCTGTGCTGGCATTGTTGAGGCACCAGACTCCCACATAGCCAACCACAGTTTGAGTCTTGGATCTGGCAGCTCGCTTTGTCACTTTTCCCTCCCTCTCTCTCTCTCTCTCTCTGTCTGGTCAAATTTAAAAATAATAATAATAGGGCTGGCAGATGGCACAATGGCTAAGGGCGCTGGACTCCCACAGTACCAACCACGGTTTGAGTCCCGGGCCTGGCAGCTTGCTCTCTCTTTCTCTCT